CAAAGAGTTTAAAAAGGTGCTTTGGAGAAAGGGTGTGTTTGTTATATTTATGGTAGATGTGCATTAGGCGCAGAAAGGGAGACATAAAAAGAGTAAGAAGATGCAGACTCAGCTTTCAAGCTCCTTTTGCTCTAGCTTCACATACAAATTTACCTGCATGATAATTGTAATAGTACCCCGTTTATGGAGTATTCTGTGTGCTAGGTACTGTGTTAAATGCTTTACTTAAAATGGCAATTAAAACATTCACAAATCATGAAATGGTAAAATGTCTGAGAATGTCCAGTAAATTGGCTCAGCTGTGGCAGAAAAACAACAACAACAACAAAAACTGCACAGTGAAGGAGAAGGCAGAGCCACTGGAGGCCAATGAAGGGTGACCTGATTGCCTGATTTATATTGATTTTAATCTTTAGAAACAATGTTATTCTCTTTTAAGAAGAAAGCAGAATCTATTGAATGTCTCAAGAGTTAGGAAATTCTGACTTAAAAATTTCTGTGGGCTTATTCTGGATGTAGCACTGCACTTTTCTCTGAAATAAAAAATATAGGATGATTTATTTCTTTGAGATAAAAATAGGAGACCTCTGTTTTGAGGTCTTAGATTTTATTAGACATTGGCCTTAAAGCCATTTAAGCCTGGCATATACCTGTATAATTGAGAGCCATCTGCTTTCTGCCTTTACGGGGTTTGGTTCCACCTCTGGTCCTGAACAGAATGAAGAGTAAGGCTTTATAAAGGGTAACTTGGGTTATATGACTTTACTCCCCGAAGGTACTTCGTCTGATTTCCTCAATTTACAGATGAAGAAACTTTGCCTAAGAGAGGTTAATTCTCTTGACTGAGATCACCCAATTTGTTGCAGAGACAGAATGTGAATTTGGAACTCCTGACTCCTTCAATCCAGTGTTTTCCCTCCACTATTTCATCTGACCTCTGCACTTATAGTTTTTTCTGAGATGTGAATGTGGCAGCATAACTGTAAATGATATGATATGGGGGATGCTGCGTAGGCACTGTTAGTGTAAATAATGATAGTGATGACAGTGCCCCACATTTGTGTTTGTTTTTTCAAAACTTGTAGAGATTATTGTCTGCCACTGTTAGCTTTACAGCTGATCAGGTTGATTGTACGTTCAACCCATCTATAATTTTGAGTAACGTGTTATAGTCAACTTACTTGTTACTTTATAACTTGAATAGCAGGTTTCGGGATAATTGACATTTTAGGGCATTTGCTTTGGTGTTCTTTTATACCACATCCTTCCCTTCCTCTTCCGCTTCCCCTTTCCCTTCCCTCCCCCTTCCCTTCCCCTTCCCTTTCCTTCCTTCCTTCCTCCCTCCCTCCCTCTCTCCCTTCCTTCCTCCCTCCCTCCCTCTCTGTCTTTTCTGTCTGTCTTTTTTCTTATTTTTTTTCATCAACAGTGCTTCTAATGAAGAACAAAGTTTACTTTAAATTGTGGATTCTTCGCTTACCTTGACCTTTCTCAGAGAGTTGGAGGTACTTGAAAGAAGTGGAATGGCTAACAAGTAGTGAGTGAGAAGAAAGAAAAAAAAATGTTGAATAATCCATAAATTTAGGAATCAACCTTTGAATATATCAAGAGCGAGCTATACTTGGCCTTATGACATTTTAAATGCTCTAATTATAATATTTTAAGCAGGAAAATAACTCTATTTTCTATCGTACAAATTAGTATGCATAAAATTTAATGCCGTTTGTTCATTTTGGAACATGATTCTGTATTGTGCAAAGGAATGATTTTACATTTGTTTTCCATTTCAAGTCTTTTAGTTTCTACTGAACTGTTACTCTTGTGCACTTAATGTCAATATTTGATGGCTGCATTTCAATAGGAAACTTCAAATTTTGAACATGATTGATTGACTGCTTTTGGTTCACTATAAAGAAGGGTGAAGATGGAATCATTAGTCTTTTTGAATAACTCAGGGCTGGTACCATGTTTTAGTCGGTTTTGTGCCTCTCATAGTGCTTGTCATTTTACCTAGTGCAGAGGTTCTTAACCAGGGGCAGTTGTGCCCCCCAGGGGACACGTTAATGTTTGGAGATATTTTTGATTGTCATGTGACTAAGTTGAATGCTACTAGCATTTAGGGGTAGAGGCCAGGAATGCTGCTAAACATCCCATAGTGCACTGGACAACCCGCACAACAAAGAATTATTTGGCTCCAAATGTCAGTAGTGCCAAGATTGAGAAATCCTCCTAAATGGCAGTTACACAATAAAGTATATTGCATTTAAAAATGTGTCCATTCAGTAAAGCCCAAGTTTTTATATATTATGTTTTAATGTGCGTTCACATACCAGTTTGATGATTCACAAGGGAGAATTTAGCTCTTTGCTTCATTATGCTCGAAGTATTAAAACAAAATTTTGACAATTATGATTGATTTTGGGTTAGTTGTACTCACTTGAAATAGTGTAATATTGGTAATCAATGTTAATCAGAGTAATACTCAGTGTTCTTAATTTGGACTTCCTTTCTCCCTCTAGGTTTTCAACTTACTGGAATCAATATTGTATATTATTCCTATAATAGTTCCATTTGGATCTGATGTAATCAGTTCTCTGGAAAAGTTAATTATCCAGCTCTCTAAATAAGTAATTAATCTGGATAATCCCTATTCTGTATTCTACTTAATCTCATCTTTAGAGTTTAAGTATGAGATACAAAATAGAACTTGCTGAACCCAAAAGCTAGCAAAACAGACCTTCATCTTCATGCAGTAAAGCTAGAGTGGGTCCCATAATCCCAGTGAAGTAGAAGCTAAATTATAATAGAGTTGTTTGCTGTATGTGCATCATTTCTAATCCTGCATTGCAGTTATTGTCTCTTCTGTTGATCTGATTTAATTTGGATAAAGCTAACTGTTTTAAAAAGAGGATAGATTCAGAACAGATGTTTTTTTGAGGGGGAGGTGAGAATTGGGAAGGGTAGAGGATGATTTAATAAAGGAAGAGTATAGAAAAGCACTTAAGTGCTTTATGATCACACAAAAACTATGTGGTAACTTGGATTTCCTTTTTAAATAGGCATAAATGCCCCCATTAACGGGAGGATTAATGGGTGATCATATGTGATGCTTCTCATTTCAATATGGTGCTTGTCAGAAGGAAAACCCATGGCTAAAATAATTACAGTTGGTGTTCTTTCCTCTTTATTCATGTTTACTTGAACATGACCTACTGAACTCAATCTCAGGAGTTGGGCTGTTGTGAGGTACCTGAGAGGCTTTTAGGATTTGTAACATTTGTTTCTTAATATCTGTAGCAACTAGAGCACAAGCAAATACTAGAGAGGTTTAACTGCCAAAGAGTTCGGAATTTGGAAATGTGATTTTGATTTTTGAGTTTTGGCATAAAAAGTTGCTTGGAGCAATTCTTTAGGGATGGCAGTAATCTGATCAGTCAGAAATAGCCTGCGCTTTAACAAACAGGAGGCTGCCAGCATGTGAAGCTAGCGTACGATAGATTAGTTAGGGTCAAGGAGAAAATAGAGAGATGGTGTTATAATACCCAGAAGCTGTGTTGTAGTGTCAGAGAGGTGTTTAACACGAGGGTTTCAATGTGATCGATCTGTCATACTTTTCTGTTTAAGATAGAAAAAAATCAGAAAACTTCCCAGCTCCTAACCTCTTTTTTCTGTGGTTTTTCACTTGTGGTTTTCAGCTCTGGTAACCTATTAAGGATTGCTAGAACAGTTTTTAAAAATTGCTAATGCATGGCTTCACTCCTAGCAACCCCAGTATAACTGAAGCCCGGGCATTGGTATTTTAAAAAGAGCTCCACCGATGAATCTAACATGCAACCAGGGTTGAGAACCACTGCTTTATAGCAGTGCATCAGAATTCTCTGGAGAGCTATTTATTAGGTCTGGACTGGGGCCTGAGAATTTATCTGCATTTCTCACAAGTTCCCAGGTGATGCTGATATTGCTGGTAAGGCAATCATATTTTGAAAACTACCAAGAAGGCAGTTTTAAAAAATCATTTGGGTCTGACGGATGGTCAGATCTTTTTAAAAAAAAAAAACATTGCAAATGCTATATTTTTGGGTTAAAAGTTAAATAAAGAACAGTATTATGCATATGATTCTTTTTATGGGAAAAATTAATGCTTCTATATGGTTTGAATTTTTTTCCAAATAGCATTTTTTATTTAAAAATTTTTTTTTGGAGGAAAAAGCCACACCAGTAATAACTGAGAACGTTGTATAGTAGTTCATAGTTTAAAAAGCTAATGAATTTACAGTTTCTAGAAGACTTTTTGAACTATTTAACATAATTTGTTTTTGTGCTTTTTTATTTTTCTATTTTTAACCCCATTATTCAAGAATTTTTCACATTTCAGGTTTTTTATTTTATATTGTCTTTTAGGTATCTTAATCTGTGTAGCCAGGATAAAAAGATTTGTCTTGTTCAAAAATTTCAAGAATTTTTATTTTGGAGAGTTTTTTATTTGAGATGGGAGAAATATTTTCTTGTTACCTCATCTTAAGTACACTGGGGGAACACAGAGCCATATACTGAGAAGAATGGGGGTAAGTGGGAACAGAAAGGAGAGAGTGTGCTTACAGGTAGAGGCAATGTTAGAAGAAGTGTACCTGCCAGGATTGAAAGAGACCAGCAGGAGGAGGAGGTGTCCTGTGATTGCTAAGAATGAAGGAATCAAGGGGATGGATATGAGAGAGCTTTTGGGTTGTCAGCCAAAGTCATAGAGCCATTAAATGGCAGAGTCCGCTGTCAGATTTGGGTCTCTAAGACTTGGGTTTATTCTCTTTTCTAGAAAACAGATAAAGGAAAAAATAGTTCTAATGAGCCAGCTCTGCAACCAGTGTAGGAAATGGTAGTTTTGTGACAATTATGAATCCTGGAAAAAAGGTCCTAAATTGTAGTGGCTTTTTTGTTGCTATGTTTGGATATTAAGAATGTGTAGCTCTGAAATGACAGCTTCCAGTGTGACTTTCTGTGTTTTTCAGAAACCATCCTCAGCCTTTGATCACTGTGCTTGAACACAGACCTGATTGCTGGCCAGTACTTTTGCAGCAGCTGACAGCTTTTCTCCAGCAATGCCCTGAAAGGTAATGTAAAATAAAATAAATGAGACAGATGAAATAGTATATGCTAATTTTAGAGTTTTTTTTTTTTTAAGCGCTTTGCCTGTAGTGTTTTCTCCTGAAGAAAAGAAGTGTCTTACAGCAGGACATAGTTTTCTATTTTCTTTTTAAGAGTAAAGAAAAAAAATCCTACCAGATTTATTGATTGTTGAAATATTGACTATGAGAAGAGCTATTATTAAAGAAGCTAAGCACTGGTTAGTTGGGAAAGTTGATTAGAAATATTCGGTAAACTCCCAAATGATACATATGGAAGACAGTTTCTTCCCTCTGGAAATTGATTAGTGAGTTAATCTCCATTAGAAACCAATGCCAGTTGGGATTAAGTAGTACTGCCAACTGGGACCAGATAGCCACCATATGTGCAGTTAATTTAGCTTTACCAAGGCCTTCTGATGGTTCTCAAAGCTTTCTTCCACCCTTACTACCAAGGCACTGGCTTACTACCAAGGCACTCATCTCTTGCTGTGGCTACTGCCACCTGTTCCTAACTGGCGTCTCTGCCTCCAGTCTCATCCTACTCAAGGCCATTCTCTAAGCATCCCTCAGGGTAATATTTCAAGGGAGCAAGTCTGATTGTATCATTCTCTTGCTTAAGTCTCCACAGCTGTGATTTACAAACTGCACTTGCAGTGTATAGGCTAAGCATGGGAATGCCCTCCGACCCTTTAACCTTTGTTCTTACATATTGGCATCTTGTGGACACTTTCTATTGGAAGACAATAGTTTGGTTTCTGAAATAGTTGGAAAATCCCTGGGCTCCAGGATAAAATCTACTATGTCCTGCCAGGCTCTGTGTATGATATGGTTTCTACCTGTTCCACCAGTTTTATTTCTCCTGTCTTTATCATACTTAATGACTTGTGTATTTAGCAATACACTGACTTGCTTTGGCTCCACACAGGAAGGAGTGCAGTTCCCTTGCCTCAGTGCTTTCACTTGTTAGTATCTGCCTTACTGCCTTGAATCTCACCTCAGCCCTTTCTTGACTCATTTCTCTATTTTAAATCTCTGTTTAGGTGTCCTTCCTCCTAGGAAGTCTTTACTTACCACAAGCTGGATTAAGTGTCTCTTTTACGTGCTCGCTTTATAACTTCAGTTGTGATTTCTAAATCGTTATACTTATACATTGTCTTATAATTATTCTCCTCTATTAGCTGTGAAATACTGTGAAGGCAGAGATTGTGTCTCATTGTTCTTTGTATTAATAATGCCTGGCACATTTTTCGGTGCTCTATAAATGTTGAATTTTTATGTACTGCACACACATACGAGGCCCACAGACTGGGGGGCCAGACAGTGGGTTGTAGAGTGCCTCCTAAAATACAGCATCACTGCATATTTAGTACCATCACACAAGGTCATGATAGGATGGTACCATTGTCCTGGGTAATCTAAGGCCTGAGTTATGTTTACCACCCTAGCATTCATGTGTTCTTGCTCTTGAAGGTCTTACAATGTCCTATTGATACAGTTTCTTAGAACACTGTTTCTGAGTTTATAACTTCAATTTTAGTTGAAATTTCTAGGCAGGATAGACTGCTACAAGAAGTTTTAAAGAGATGTAGGGAACCTTATAATCATCTGCCAGTGAGAAAATCCATGTAACATCTGAATGAATATTTTAAAATAAAACATCATTATCACCTTCTCTTCCCTCACCTAGGATTGCGTTTTCAAAGGTAAGATATTCATATTTACTAAAAAAAAAAACTCTTTGTTCATCCCTGTCAGAAAGCAAAAATAACAAACATAAACATTTATTTAATGAAATGTCTCATAAAGTAGCCTGGGATGCTTTATGAAAGATGTTCCTTACGAAAATCTCTCTTTTCCAATGCTTTAGTTAGTTAAGAAGTATTCAAATTACCTTTTGGTTGTTTTCATTTCAAACGAGTACTATACTGGGATTTAGAAGTAGTTCTTCTCATGAAATATGTCCAGATATTCCTAAGGAGAAAAGATTATTAATTGACTGGTTTATTTACTGATAAACTTCTATTGTCTTACTCCTTTCATTTGAATTCTAAGGTGTTAGAGTATGCTACCTAGAGCCTGTTGGAACTTCTAAATTATTTTATATTTATTTGCAAAGAATGATTTCATTTATCTCATTTCTATTTTTGCCAATGAAATTATTCTTTGTGGAATTTTCATCAGACTATTGGTTTCCTGAGATCTAATTTTATTTTATTTTTTTATTTTTTAAGCATAATTTTATTTTTTATTTTTTTAACATTTTTTATTGATTTATAATCATTTTACAATGTTGTGTCAAATTCCAGTGTTCAGCACAATTTTTCAGTCATTCATGGACATATACACACTCATTGTCACATTTTTTCCCTGTGTGAGTTATCATAACATTTTGTGTTTATTTCCCTGTGCTATACAGTGTAATCTTGTTTATCTATTCTACAATTTTAAAATCCCAGTCTATCCCTTCCCACCCTCCACCCCCCTGGTAACCACAAGTCTGTATTCTCTGTCTGTGAGTCTATTTCTGTCCTGTATTTATGCTTTGTTTTTGTTTGTTTGTTTTTGTT